TAAGAAAAGAGATTTATATTTATATATTAACAAAAAATAAATTGAGCCAAACATATATTTCTTATTATTTCATTATTTAACACACCTTGAGCATCTATCACCTGCTGCAATGTATTTTTTAATTTGATTTAAACGTCTAACCCAGGGGTCGGCAACCTTTTGTCGCTCTCGGGCAAAAATTAAGGTTGCAAGTCATTGACGGGCCGCACATATTTTTAGAAAGTTGAAAAACCGAACGGATGATACTTTTTATAAAAAAAAAATTAAGCAGTGATACATCTCTCGAACATAATATTGATTTATTTTCTCATTGCATCTCATAAAATTCCATTAGAATATTTTCAGCGCCATTGAACCCTTTGCACTTAGCATCAACTTTTCTGCGTTTTGTTGCCATTTGCTTAATTATAATTAAATTATATGCTCATTAAACGAGTAATTGTGAATTATATAATTGTTAGGTTATAATATAATTTAGTCTAAAGAATATATTCGTCAAAACGGATGTTTTGTTACTATAATTTAGTGAAGCGTCGCGGGCCGGATTAAAGTGCTCCGCGGGCCTGATCCGGCACGCGGGCCGTAGGTTGCCGACGCCTGGTCTAACCCGTTTTCGTACTACCCAGCTGTATATATCAAAATTGAAATGAAAAAAATAATGATTACTGGTGTTATCCTGCTGACTTCTCCAGTAGACCCATTCTCCACTGATTCATTTATATCTGTGCAGTTACAACTTTCAACCAAAAAATAAACATTTTCAAAAACAAAAATATTCATGATATCATTTTTTCGTACAGGATTTGGCTGTTCCAAAGATGAGTACTCTTGCTTGGACCGAACGCAATGCATTCCATGGTATATGTTTTGCGACGGAATTCGTAATTGCAGGTAAGAATAGAATTGGAACAATAAAGGAATGCTCAAATAAATGGTTACAATGGTTATTTCAAAAACGGACCTTTCGATAACATCTCCCCATTTTGACGTTGTTTTCTGTAACAGACTCGTTTTAATGGTTGATAGTATATTTGTTCCATATAGTTAAATATAGAAACAATTACAGTGAGACGTTACTTGGTACTCACCATTTTGTGCATGCTAAACAACTGCAATCGGCAAAATATATTTTACTGCATTTTAGTCAAGAATATCGATTTGAAATATTCATTCGAGGCTTGGAAGTATCCGAAGTTATTTGACGCTAGACAATAAGAGGCGGGATAAGAGCGACCACCGACTGTTTTTTTTTTGTATACAGTTGTGTTTCGCAATATGCTTTGTTATGAATTGTATATAATCAGTTTTTTTCAGTATATTAAGAAGTTGAAAAAAGCAATATTCTTCTGGCGATATTTTCCACCTTCATGTACTGAAAATTTGATGTTGTTTGGTCCATAAATTGTCAAAATTTGCAAATTTTATCAAACAACAAGGCAAACAATGTAAACAACAACGAAATACAAAAATGATAAAGAAGTGCACTTGTTTCTTGAATCTTGGCTTGAAAACATTACACAAAAAAATTAGTTCAAATGACGTATTTGATTGCAAAAATCCAAAGAGTGTTTTCTTGACCATTATTGTTGGCTGAACTTTTTGCTTTATGCGTAATTCGTTGTGAATTACACTTCCCTCATTTGTCTGTTCTGAGACATTTGTGAATACTTCATTGTGACAATGATAAGAGAATAAATATTTCTTTAGTATATACTATTAGTAGACCAATCTGCTTCCACCTAATGTATGTCAAAGTGTATACGGGATGATATATAGTGTTTTATAAGTGCGTCCATCATATTATGTCGATCTAATTTTTATCAAAAATCTACCCATGTTAGCATGATATTCGAGAAGATTTTGTTTAAAATGATAGGAGAAAAAAATATTCATCCTTATTGATAACATATATTCATAATTGTCGGTATTCAGATGAAAATTTGGAAGCAATGACAGAATTATATTTATTTGAAGGTTTCAGAATTTTTTATTTTTGAGATTTCATCCAATTTTCTAAAACTCACTTTTCCCACATTTAAATTTACTCTTGCTACAGCATCCTTGCATTATATGCATACGGATACAGATGGAAATTTGGAAGCAATAACTGAATTATATTTAATTGTAGGATTCAGAATTTTTTATTTTTGAGATTTCATCCAATTTTCTAAAACTCACTTTTCACACATTTATCTTTACTCTTGCTACAGCATCTTTGCATTATATGCATACGGATCCACCGGATAAAAAGCATAGAAAAAGGATAATTAGTTAGTCTCGCAGAAACCAAATCATCAGCGCGATTCACTATTCACATTTGGGGAATATAGTGATTGAAATATATAAAATAAACAGACGTCTTTTGTTATTTCCTAATGATAAATATCTTTGTATAATAATTTAATGATAAAACATCACTTACCTCTACCGCATACACTCAGTTCAAAAATGATATTTACATTAAACGATTGAGATTTCGTGAGGTAGCTATTACTTTTCCGTTTTTTATGAAATTTTACTTTCCTCACAAAATTAGGGATTGCTGAATCATAGCATGGAGAGAATTAAGTCAGACAATCTAAACAAGATACCACTGCGCCTACATCATTTTCTTTCTTTTAATTTATATCTCGTAGAATTTAAATAACTGCAGAAATTATACATAATATATAAAACATCAAACAAACTGTTTCATTACAGAGATGGAAGCGATGAATTTGCCCCGAATACAACTTTAAACGGGAGGGCTTGTCGAAGAAATATTTACATCTGTGATCTCCCTCGTCATGAAAAAATTAATGAAGTAACTATCTGCAAAAAAGGTGAAAACATTTAATACCAACACCTTGAAAATATAAATGAAATTACCATATATATCTGTCAATATTAATCTGTATATGAAAATATGTTAGGCATCGGAACTATTCGCAAAACAATGAAAAATTTGTGATTCAAAATGTGACGGACATCCAACAGGTTAAGTAAACATTTGAATTTATTCAGGATCACTTTAAAAAAAATTAAATTTGAGACCTATATAAAACAGTCAGGTCAAATTAACTGAAAATATTGAGACACATTTTTATCACGTCTATTCCGCCGTCAATGTAAAAGAGACATTTCTTTTCATTGTTTTCGTTTTGAGCAATAAAAATTTTATCTATTGACCGTCATGAAGTATTTATCTGCCTGTCGAATATTAAACGTAATAATAAACAACGCCAAGCTCTTTAATACCAAGTACCGGTTGTGGCATAACCTGATGCAATCAACGGTTTAAATATACTCAATCTCATTCTGTGCCACAATGTAAAAGCGAGAATTTCTTCATTGTTTTCGTTTGGATTAAAAAAAAATCTATTGACCGTTATCAAGTATTTAACTGCCTGTTGATTATTAATTGTAATAATGAACAATGAATGCCTAGCTCCTTTTTAATACAAAGTACCGTTTGTGGCATAACCTGATGCGAACAACGGTTTGAAAATATTCAACATTTTGCTTTACGTTTGATAATGATGAATATACAACTTCATAACCGAATGCTAATTACAATAAGTTTTCTTACAAAACTTCTCAGTTGACTTGTATATGGAAATGAGACTATGTTATCAAGTTGCAAATTACGTCATTGGTTAATTTCCTATAAATTCTAGTAATAATTATATAATCTTATTTCCGACGCAAAACTAAACACGTGCATTTCCTAACAGCATTGTCAAGGGTGATGTACAGCATAGGTTCTCAAAGTGCTCCGTACGGAGCCCCAGGGCTCCGCGAGAGAAACCCAGGGGCTCCGCGAACTCTTCAAAATACTGACTCAAAATTTTGTAACTGTTCAAAGAAGCAATAACAGCATTGATAAAATCTGACAACAAATAGCCTCGAAATATGGTAAAGAGGCGGAATTAAAAAATGACATTATTTATAAGCAGGAGCGCAGCCAGGTTTCTTAAGAGGCAGGTGGTTCAAAATTGGAATCGGAAATTTCCGCGCAACATTCTTTGCGATTAAAAAAACGGATAACGAGATTTCTGTTGCGTAAAATATTCAATCCATGACCGATGCGAGCATTTAACGTGTCTCATCGTTACTCACGTTTAGTTCGAGATTACTATTAGGATTACTAAAATGTAAATACTATTCTAAAATAACATAAAATATGTGATAAACTGCCAACTATAAATAAATTGGAGTCGTATTTTTGCGATCATGGGATTTGTCAAACTTGATTTGTTCTTTTGCACTTGAGATTATTTTTAAGCAAGATATCGCGGTTTAAAAAATCACAATATTTGGGCAAAATACGAACAATTGAAATTTATTTTATTGCATTCGGCTCTGCCGGTAGTTTCAGAATGAAAAAAGGTACATCGCGGATCGCGCTCACAATTGACTGTGTTTCGATTTCGCAGTTACTACGATGAAAACCTAACATAACACCAAATTTTATGATTTACAATGTCTATAAAAGCGTTTTCAATCTGAGGTGAGTCTGCTGAAAACGAAACGTGTGATCTTTCATTTTAAGTTTCAGTTTTAATATTTTAGAAGGCGTTTTTCAATTAAGAAATTTGAGTTGCGGATTTACCTCTTTATTAATTATTATTTTTAGCCTTTCATCGCCGATGACTATAATATGGTAACATGTTTTTCACATTAAACTCATACTTCCCCACGAGAACAAAAAGCAATTAACGTCGTCATTGTGTAACAATACATGTATATGCCGAGGGAAATTTTTGATTTAGGGAAAATAAACACAGGCGTAAAGATGTTTAAAGGTTCAAAAACACGCCATGCTGACGAAAAAAATCGGCGATTGTAACAAAATGATATCGCGCTCGTTATTAGCGGCCTTTTAAGTCTTTCAATGTCAAAAGGGAAAAGATTCGCCCCCTAATTTATCAATATGTTGGTCAAGTGTCAAATTTACAGCTTTAGTATATTATGTTTGAAATTTAGATTTATCTATGACTTGTGTTAACCCTATTAAAAAGGGTTCAGCATTTAAAATAAGTAAAGTACTTTTAACTTGCTCAGGAATATTAATCTGAAAGTAAAATTTTAACATTTATTTTGGGGCTCCGCGAATAATATTCAACCTTTCAAGGGCTCCGCAACACCAAAAGTTTGAGAACCCCTGATGTACAGTATACACATCACCGCACGTGTCTGATCGGCACATATGTCCTAATGAGTAACGATTATGCACAATGCACCTATATTTGAATCAGCTCTATGTCGTGTTTTTACGCTCCGTTGTAATTAATTCAGCTTTATAGCATGATTGTTACGTAAATTTTTTGGATGGAATAGTCGCATGTGGGTTAGGGCTACCAACTGTCCCGGAAGGACCGGGATAGTCTTGTAAATGACATCTGGCGTCCCGTATCCCGAGAAGGGTTACGGTTCTGAAATAGAAAGTCATGTAAGCGTGTCGGCTTTGTTCAAAACTGGAAACGGATGTCTGGATAGGATTTCATAACTTACGCAAATATTTTTCTTTTAAATAAAACGATTACATCTGTATTGTTTTATTATTTCAATGGTGCTTATAACTGGCTTAGTTTTGTGCACCAGGACTACGATATTACGCGTTGGTTGTTCAAATACTTCGACCCATTATGAGGACGTATTCTATAACAAAAGATGGAAATCTGGATTTGTTAGTAAATTATTAAGATTTACGGGGCATATATTCAGTTCTTTGCAATGATTAATTAAATTGATCTTGGGTCACAGCAGGGACAATGTAATATTAAATGTTTGACGGTTTCGTTTTCCAAGCAAGTGTCACAAAGTCCATTGTCGTGGAGTCCGGTTCCATGAAGATGATAGTTCAAACGACAGTGGCCTGTTTGTAGTCTAAACAAGATTATTTCATATCTTCTAGATAATTTGCTGGAAATATGATCTTTAACAGATGGGGAGAATAATTTCAAGTCTAGAGCTTTTCCTAGTGTAACATAATAATTGTTCCAATCCATGTCGCACTTTGCATTGATAATTGACTTTGCTTCGTTTTTCGAGAGTATTATGATTAATGTTGAACTATTTTCTTGCATTGTTGCTTATTTTGCTAGTTTATCTGCCTTTTCGTTGCCAGCAATTCCAACATGTCCTGGGATCCACGCCAAATCGACGAAAATATTTTGTCTCCTGAGAGAAGATAGAATAGTTTTAATTTTAAAAAACAACATATGATTTTCAGAGTAAATTTTACTTGATCCCTGTAAAAGGCCAGGACAATTGGTTAAAATCAAAACAAGTGTAAAAGTTTTGGAAACGTCATACTTTAAAATAAAATATGAAGAGCCACATCCCGTATCCGCCTTTGATCCATCCGTATAAATCAATAAAGTACTGACCGTAATTCTCGGAAATATATTCATCACATGCTTGTTTAATGATAGATAAGGGATCTGTTTTTGAGATAATATTAGCAAGCAACACATCAATATTTGGAAGGCGGTGACTGCAGATCTGGTATACAATTAACCGAAATTTGCTTGAAAACATCCGATGTGGTTAGCATATTGAAGGTTTGAACAAGGGTGACTTTGAGTAAAGCTCGTGTCATGTTTGTTCTATTATGTTGGCATTCGGATATTGCGTAATCGATAAAATTTTGCACTCATATCTCATGCGAGCCTGTCGGTAACGATATTTAAGTGGAATCTCTCTACAGGAAACATTTAGACAGCAGATCGGTGTGCTGGGCAAAGCGCCGCAGCAAATACGAAAAGATTTGTTTTGTATCAGCGATATTTTTCTAATTACATACTTTGGTGCAAACTAATAAGCATCTATTCCGTATTCAATTATTGAACGTATTAGAACCCTGTATAATTTAAGCAAAGTTTCTTTGGAAGCACCCATGTTGTGCCTGTCAAAAGTCTCAACAGATTTAATCTTTTATCACATTTGTGTGTTACATGTTCCACATGAGATTTGTACGTGAACTTGTTGTCGAATATAACGCAAAGGTATTTATGCTCCGATTTAACCGGCAACTCCTGTCGTAATCTTGAAAATAATACAGCACACGATTTGTCATTGTGATGTTAAATCCCCACGCTTGACACCACGAACTGATTTGATTTAATGTCATTTGCATATCCGATATAAGTTCGTTGATTTTTAAACCAATCTCCCACATGGCGCAATCATCAGCAAATGTTCTGGATGTCGAGAAAACGTTGTTTGGAAGATCATTTATCATGATTGTAAAAAGCAATGGACTTATCACACTACCTTGAACAATCTCCTTCTTCTATTTAAAACTATTAGAATAAGTGGATCCGACCCGTACTTGAAAAGATCGGTTTGATAAAAATGACTTCATCAACGATAAGATTCGTCCCTTTATACCAGGCGTCACCAAACTTTTTTTTGACCGCGGGCCGGGTATGACTCAAACTGTGTTGAAACGGGCCGGACATATATTTTTGTCAATGCAATACAATGAATTCACAAAAATTGGGAAATTTTTTCAACAATATATATTCTACATTTCTGAAGACTTGAATATTAAATTCTATATATATCGCAGGATATAGATCGAGAACATCCTAGGAAAACAAATATACAAGATTTCTATATATAGACGACAATCCTGAGTTTAGCTGTTATCAAAACGTTGCAGTCGTGAATTAGGAATGTTACAAAATCCGCTTTTTCGCGCCAAAAAATGTACGCATCACGTCTGCTGAGTACCGTTACGCCGTGTCGGAATACGGCTTATGCAAACGACTACTGACTGCCTACTGTAGCATGGAATTCAATGAAATTTTGGCATAATTTAGATGAAATAAACAACTATTATCTGGTATT